ACAAGCGTAGGGCGAGGACCCGTCCATCGCCGCTTGCGGCTTTAATTCCTTTATTTACTGAGAACCGCACAATCAATTGGATCGGATTTCCTAAGCAGTAATCTTTGGTAGAACACAACACAAAGGGCTGACCAAACTTGTTGGCCAACTTCAACAATAGTTGCGTAACACGGCTGAGTAGGAATGTTAAGAATTTGTTTAAACACAAAGATTCTTATTCAGTTTCTTATTTTGCTGACAGATGTAACTTTTTTTTTGCATAAACTGTATCATAGGAGCAGATTGATTCCAGATTGATCACTGTTCATACACAGACAACACTTCAGCACTTCACTGGAATAATTTCTGCCTTACGAGACACTCAAAAAAAACTATCAAAGATAAACAAGCCACAAAATGTTAAGTTCAAGTGCTTGGTGTATGGACACACTCACATGCAGCTGTCTAACATTCTGCCCCAGCCTTCCCCTCCTCTCCCCCCGCCTCTAATTTCACCCCTGCTTCGTCCTGTCCATCATCCCTTCGCTCCCTCCCTCTCCTTGCCTGTTCTTCCTCCCTCTTACCCAGAATGCAACGCAGGCTGAGCAGGCTCAGCTGCGCTATAAAAAGGCATAGAATGGGGGAGGGAGGGCTGCCGTGCAGCAGGAACTGTGCAGACACACACACGGGGATCCAGGGACAGCAGCCCCCTTGCACTGGGATCTAGAGCCACAGCGCGAAAGAGAGGTCAGTACAGAGGACAAAGGCTTAATAGAGGAAGAGCGAGCCAGGAATGGCTGGAACTGAAAGGTCTGACTTTGCGAGAGGGAGTGACGAATGGAGAGATGTCAGGGAGGGAGAGTGCAGACAGGCAGAGTGGGCAGGGCTGTCTAATGGGATGGAGAGTGAGAATAACAGGCAGAGGCTGTAATGGCAAACTGTCCTCTGGTTTCCTTGAGACACTGGTTAGTCACTCTTTAAAATGGTTGACAGGGTCAGGAGCAGGCATTTGTGCACAGTGCACAGGTTGAAGGTCTTGTGTGTCATTCACAGTGGTGGCACTCAGTGGATTACATAATTATTGTAATGACATTTTGCACCACTGAGTCTTTTTTGGGTTTTTTTTCTGACTTTTCATTGCAGATTATTTGCCTCCACTTCACATAACATGTCAACATCCTTGTAAACCTACAGCCATTGAAGTACATTCATGCAGCCATTTCACTCCACTGCCATGCCTCCAGCCCCACTAATGGTCATTAACAGGGGCTGGGCCATATCGATTCTCGCGCGTGCACGGTGCACATTAAAGTGACCACGGCGTGCAACTTGGAACACAAACACGTCCACAACAACTGAATTTCTCATGCTCCATCCTCTCACAAACAACATGGAATATCTCCCACTGCACTGACGTCAAAGGGTCCCCTGTTCTTCCTTAAAGGGACAGTTTGCTCAATTAAACTTCAGGGTTCCTTGGTAACCAGCTGGCATACAGGCAGAATGTCACTAATAGAACGTGGGCTCGGTACTTTGTTTTTCGCTCCAGGGGCAGTCAGTCTCCGTGTGCTTTTTGAGAATGGTTGACACGACATCCCTTAACAGCTGCAGTGTGACTGAGTCTTTTTTTAGCAGGGCTGCACGTTAAAAAACAGTAATAAGACATGTGGGTGGCACAGCCAAGACGGAGCGACACGGGGGTGGGGTCTGTGGCGAGTCGAGGAGCTTTATATTTCAATTCGAGGATTGAATTAAGAACTCCATAAATCACACATTTTAATATATAACCACTAATATATGAGGGTGTGCAGTAGCTTCACATTTAACACTGTATTGCCTTATTTCTTAGTATTGAATGTAACTCCCTCACTCAAGAGCCATTTAAAGTATTTTGCAAAACGCTGGTATCACACACGTCTGACATGCCAAAGAAGCATGGGACCCGGGAGAAGGAACCATAATAGGCCAGAGAGGGATTCCCAAACCGGCTCGGTGCTGACTCAGATGCCAGCGTCCGAGTGACATTTACACAGACCACAGGGTTAATGGGTGCTGACATAAAACTGGACACCGGAGAAGCTGCACCACCGGTACCGAGGTGTACTTCCAGTGAGAATCAGAGAACTAACCGGTAGCTTTGGTCAACACCTGTCAGCTTTAGAAGTATAAAAATCTATCATTTGCAACACATTTAATGTAAATCTGTTGTGTTTTTTCTCCATAGTGAAACAACTTTCTAACACTTTAAATTCCTCCAAGCTTTGTTATCAATCTGGTGCTACACTAACAGATTTGTTTGAACAACAGGCAGCGAGCAAACAGTCCCATTGTCACCAGGTCAAATTAAAGCTTTGCTGAATCCATTCTAATGTCAGCTGTAGATCTTATACAGTAGGGCTAAAAAAAGAATGTACCCATCAAGGTATAAAATACAGCCTGCACAGAGAATCAAATTCCCCCGATAGACCTTTGATATTTATCTCATCCTGTTTCCATTTATTCTTTTTCGCTGTTTGTGTAAATTAGAACTCCACGATTGCGCTCAAACTATCGAATGCAGTAACTAAGCTGCAGATATTTGTAAGTAGAACGTTTTGCGGTATGTCCTGACACCCTGGTGACCCTGCCAGGACACTTAGATCTAACTCTGAGCCCCATGGTAACCTTTACCTCCTTACACAAGTCTCGTTTCACGTAGCGGGACATTCTCGGGTTACTTAATGACCGTAGCTAAAACATGAGAGTGATGTAAGAAACCTAGTAACAGTGGAGAATACATAAACGTATAGTAACCACAGGTACTGAGGGTAAATACTCCATATAATTGGTTTGAGTTGGTCTCTAAGCACTGATGCACAGCAGCCGTTTAACAGACATCAGTTTTATCCAAAACACATGTAAAATGATTAAAGTAGCTCATTCCCAACCCAACCGCACACGAAAGAGGCAAGCTGCGACTCGAAGATATGCGTTCACACCAGCACTTCGGCCAACTTGCTTCCTCATTCCTATGACTTCTGACTTGGTGTCGGCTAAAGGGGAAGCGCAAACAGGAAACATTGTGGCTATTGTCTTCTTTAGATATATTTAGCAATGTGAATACAAAATATTCGTGGTCAGTCAAATAGTGAAGGACTAGAATTGCTGAGGACTGACTGTGCAGCATTAAATACGTTACAACTACGGTTCCCTCTACAGCTGGTTGGCTGAATCTCCAGGAATTCACAGTTTTTTTTTTTTTTTTTAAATAGATCTCAAATAGCTTTAACACCATAGAGGAACAAAACAGCGTTGATATTTAAAGCTTCAAGACATACTGTTAAGTCTGTTTACTTCTATTACACTCAACTAAATTAGAGCTCCTTTGTACGACTGACTTCACAATGCACAAAAAAACACATGCAACAAGACTCACTCCTAAAAAAAAAGAAGAATGTTTTAAACACAACAGTATTGATTCCCTGAGTAGATAAAGCAGTTATGTAACAGCTGCAGGAAATGCCTATGGAAAATCATTGTATGGTCCTGATTATACTGCTGCAACAATCAATGGAACATTTACTTACATTCATGGTGGTAAACAAGTTAATCATCATCAAAATGTAACATCTGACAAACTACCAAATTATTAAAAAAACATGCTCCTGTCTTTTCTGACTCCAACATTAATCCTTGCATTGAAATGTCATGGTCCACTTTTCAGATAATTCACTGTCAGCTCAATCTGCCTTTTTAAAATGTGTCCTACTTAGTCTTTCTACTGCTGTCAAATGTCCTGCCACCGTGAATTTACATGCTTCTCTATGTCCTTCTCTGTCTTGCAGTTAAAGGAAAACACTCAACAGACACAACACAATGGCAGGTAATGAACAAATGTGTTTAAATAAGATTATAGATGCTCTATTACTGAAGAGTTGTTGGTTGAACATGTAAAGTTGTGTTTTTATTATTTATCCAATGGGGTTAAAGTAAAGGAGAGGCAGACTTCTTTATTTTTTTTTAAAACGTGGACTCTGCTGCCCTCTTTTGGTCGGAGTTTGAAAATACAGATTTGCACATTTAAAATAGACATGGCTTTTCAGTGTTGCTTGAGACATAAAGTGTTAAGAGAAGTAATTTAATTAACAACAGAAATTCTGTATCATGAGGAAGTAATTGTTTAAAAGTAGTTATTAAACAATTCCACATAGTTAAGAAAAAGGCCAAATTTGGGGTTTTCTTTTTGTTTCTTGCTCATTGGTTAGATTTATTACTCAGATTTCCCCTCACTGTGAGCACATGGCTGCATAACATTAATAGGTGACAACAGTTGCCATGCCAACACTGTTTGAGTAATACACCAAAGCAACCAAAGCAGCCTGTTGGATCAGGTGACTCGGTCCCCTTCAGCTAAAAATGGAAAATCCATGCACTGACGTTTCCTCTAAGTGTCGTTCCTCCACGTTAGAGTCTCGAGATGGTTCGTTACAAAAATTCATTCCTTGTGTGTTGAACTTTTGATGCATCATGTGTGGATTTACAACATGTTTATGCTCTTTTCAGACAAAATTAAAGACGCCAAGATCATCTTTGTTGTGGGTAAGTACACTAAATCGCTCTTTAGCAGTCACACAAACAGCTATCTGTGTCATTTTGTGCTACAATCACATTGTTTTTGCTTATTTCCAGGTGGGCCCGGCTCCGGAAAGGGCACCCAGTGTGAGAAGATAGTGGCAAAGTACGGCTACACCCATCTGTCATCTGGAGATCTGCTCCGTGCTGAGGTGGCTTCTGGCTCTGAGAGGGGCAAGACGCTCCAGGCCATCATGCAGAAGGGAGAACTCGTACCCCTGGTAAAACAGCAGGCCATAATGTCATTTAATCACTCTCAGAAATGATTGTTTTTGTCTCCCAGATGTGCATTAATAAACACACGTGTGCACAGATAAATAATGTAAAATAAATGGTTAAATAATGCATTTTCTGTCAAAAAATGCCATATCACGGTGAAGGTTGATCATAACATTTGGCGGTTGCTTTCAGGACACAGTCTTAGACATGATTAAGGATGCCATGATTGCCAAGGCTGATGTCTCCAAGGGCTTCCTTATTGATGGCTACCCCCGTGAGGTGAAGCAGGGAGAGGAGTTTGAGAAGAAGGTAGGAGCTGCTGTTAAAATGCTGGATTATAATTCATCCCTGCAGCAAATGATAAAATAACATTTTAAAAAAAAGAAGCTTTAATGAGCAAACTCCTCTCTGTGATCCCAGATCGGCAAACCCTGCCTGCTGCTGTACGTCGATGCCAAAGCAGAGACCATGGTCAAGAGGCTGTTGAAGCGCGGCGAGACCAGCGGCCGTTCTGATGATAATGAGGAGACCATCAAGAAGCGCCTGGACCTGTATTACAAAGCAACCGAGCCAGTCATCGCCTTTTACGAGAGCCGCGGCATTGTCAGGAAGGTGAGTATGACTGCTGTGATAGTAAAAAAAATAAAGGCACTAAATCATGAGTAACAGCTAACATATATCCTTTGTCATGGTGCCCTCTTCCTCTGCGTAGGTCGACTCCGAGCTGCCCGTGGATGACGTCTTCGGCCAAGTCTCTAAGGCTATTGATGCACTGTAGTAAAACAACATAACTAGATGAGCTGTGTCTGGTTGTTGTTTTATTTTTTTTAATTTTCTTAATGTTAATTTCATAAGGACTAAACGAGAGAAACAACACATTTCCCACTTAAAAATACAAACACAAGGCCGATGAGGATCAAAGATGCCTTAAATCTGATTCTAAAGAAAGTTTCAAAGCCAATCTACTTAAAGCAGAATCTGTAAATTTTCTTTTTTTTTTCCTTTTGAGAAAAAATATATACATATTATTTATAATATATAAGCCTCACTTCTGTTCTGTGCTGAACATGTATGTGGATGTATCTGCAAGTCGGAGCAGAAGAGTGTCAACCACGTCCCGACTTTTAGGAAAACCCTGGGACGAACTTTATCTTTTGTTCTCTCTTTTTACTGCCATTCATGATTTCTTGTGCCGCTGAACAACAGCAGAGATCACCCACTGTGGAAAAACTGGTGAAACTCTGCGTACATTCACAGGACTTTTTTAAAAAACGACTTTGCTCAACCACCCATTATCTTCATTCATTTCTATTAACCCATTTACTATATTTAAAGCACAGAAATGTTATATATTTTTTTCCATCATGATGTACACATGTAACATGGGTGTCTATAAAGTGGTATATGTAAAAAAAAAAAAGAAAATTAAAGTAGCCTATAATGAAAAACTTCCATTTGATATTGCTTGAATCTATTTTGATCCTATTTGATAGTACCGCAGACTGACACTGTGAGTAATCCAGGACAAACAAGTGCACACACACATAAAAAAAAGCAGACTTTGACAGCTGTGCCAAATTGAAAAAGGAAACGCTTTTCTATTCAGAAATCACGTCGAAGGTGCTGGAGCATGTAGACACAACAGGATACAGGACGCGGTGCAGCAGCCACAGCTCACCCCTGTTATTACAATTTTCCTTTGAGGCCTTGATGATCAACTGGTCTTCCTTTACCTCTCACCTTCCTCTCTCTCTCTCTAACACACACACGTATTTCCAGCTGGACAAGCAAACACTGCAGCAGGTATCCGGACCGGTCTCTAAGGGGAGCCCTGCTTCACGACTGCGCGCCGTAGGGATGAGGAAGAGGAAAACAGGCTTCTGAAAGGTGGACAGGATGCGTCCATCGGAAAGTCAATCAGGAGCAAGGGCGTCCGTGAGCACTTTCATAAAATCATCGAGGATGCCGCTTGAATGCTTGGAATGCTGGGGTTACTCAATAAAAGTGCAAAACAAAGGGGGACGATCGGAGGGCGCAGTGGAATTCATCACGTACGACAAGGAAAGGAAGAAAGAAAGAAAGACTGAATGTTGGAGAGAGATGGCGCTAACAAGACCACGTTTCACAGTGTGTGCAGATACAGTCCTGCAGCTCAGGGATCTAAAGAAAAGTTAACAAACACGAAAAAAAACTACCCAGCAGAGAACATTTAAGCATTCAAGTCAACTGATGAGCTGCAATCTGTAGGGTTTTCAACTGTTTGATTCCAGAGCCCCCCTGTGGTAGCTTTAAAAAACAGAAGCAACGCAAAGGCCCCACAATACAGAAATAGCCAGCTGTATTAATTCAAGATATATTCCAGCATTCATTTTTAACCTCCCGAACACAGCAAAAAATGATTAATGCATCGTGTCTCGGCTGAAAGCGCAGCTGAGTGTTAGGACTCAGACAGGAAAAAAAAAAAAAAAAGGCTGGGAGCATGGTGGAGCATTCATTGATTCATCGCATGCAAGATAGTTGTCAACAAAATAATTTGTTTTCCCACCTACCAGCAGAACTAATGGTTAATTCCATGAAATAGGCTTATGGAGATGAGTTAACGAGCAAAACCGCCAAATTTGCAAATGAAACCTTCTCTGCGTACGACATCCATCAAGACAAATAAGATGATCGGGAGAAAAAAAAAAAGTGGGCGCATGAAGTGTAACTGTGTTCATTTATTTGTAGCCGTGGAGGCTGATGTGAGCTATGAGCATCGCGTACCTGTTTGGTATCTATTAGGAAAAGGAATAATTTTTCAATTAGTAACGCGGAAATGAATCAGAGTCTGTCGCTTGTGGCAGTTTCAGATAAGTTCTCGGACATACTGTATACTGTATTTATGATTCTTTTGTTTGGGCTGTCAGGTAAAAAAAAAAAAAGGTAGTAGGTCAGAAATAAAGCACCTGAGTAGAATTCTAAACTGCTTGGATAGATGTAACCCAGACCGCAGTGTCTCTTGGGAATCATCTGGGCAACCAGTCAGCTCTCAATGAGGGTGTTTTAAGGAAATTTACCGCTTTATACATCTTGAGAAAATAACCTCGTTTCAGACTGTCGCAGAAAGTTACAGCAACTTTATGGCTTCAATTAACCAGGACCTCTCACTTAGCTGAAACCTAACTGCACTCCCAGCGAAAAAAAAAAAAAAAACCTGAATTATATTCAAAAGTGAGATATGATTTTGCAAATGGGACTCCTTTTTATAATGAGGGCCTTGTCAATTAGCTACCTTGGGGGATTGTAGATGTACATTAAATGACTTTGTAAGGGCAGATACGCCTCTGTTCATCTTGTATCAGTCTGGGATATTACCAGTGCAGGGCCATGCGTCAGATCCCCCCTTGGAGGACGATAAGGAAACGACTAAGCTGGCACATGCTCTTTATTCTCTGTCGCTGCTCCTGCTTTGTGGGCTGCGGTGCGATGGCTGGCTGGCTGGCTGGCTGGCTGGCACCGCTAGAGACCCAGTGGCACCGTGCGGGAACCAGCGTCAACCTGTGATGAAAGACGCTGGCCGATTGTTTCCTGTTATTGAAAAACTACTCATGGGTGGGGGGGGGTTTGGTTAGAGAGTCGGAGGTGGGTGGGGGCAGGCTCCAAGAAAAAAAAAAAGGAATGCCATTGAAGCAGAGTGCTACTGTAGAAGTGTCCTCTGGCCGGCATCAGATGTGATTGAGTTCCTGAGGTGAATGCCAACTGTGACATATTCCTCGGCTTCTATATGCAAACCGTGCGACCTACTGCTGGTGGTGGGGGGGGGAGTGCAGTCATTTAAGCACCAAAGAATACAAGGAGCATAAAACTGTCTCCACTTACCGCCATATCCCCATATGCATTTCTTTGTTCGTGCTGCCTGCAAAGAATGAGGTCGCAAGTACAGAGTCAAGATCCAGAATATCAACTAGTCTTGGAAAAATAGCTCTTTGTATGACTATTATTAATGCACGGTGTGTTCCTAGCGTGCTAAGACGTAGACCAATTAGTCACTAAGTGCAGTGATTCATAGCGGTGGATTACCTACATTCAGCGGTTCTTTGTGCACATAAAGGTCAGGTTAAAGGGACTATATTCTTATTATATATTCTCACTACCATGTGAATAATTAACGAAGATATAAATTTAGTTTTTTGCTTGATGATGGCCATGCAAACCTACACACTTCAAAGTTTGCATTTTCCAGCTTTACTCTTTCTGTTGTTTTGTTCTGCAACCCAGAAAAGAAGATACCGCTCAACGAATTTCAACCATAACACATATAACACGTATGAGCCGAAAATGAGCTAAACAGAGAGGAACAGACATAATAGCTCCTGCTCGTGTCATTTTGTTTGCTACATCAATTTTGTAATTATTGTAAATGCTTTTGTAGCATTGTCCAAGCATGTGCCTGTTTTTCTTTCTCTCCTTTTCTTCTGCGTCTCTGCTCTGCCAGTAGACTTTGTGTGGAGAGCTGATTTGATGGGATGATGACTCGTCTGAGCCGGCTCAGTACAGAAAGGATGTTGTGTCTACTCTTTGCGACTCTTACTCGTTCTTTGTGATGGTGCTGTAGCCAGAGATAAGCTCTATTCCAGGAGGAGGTTTTTGTTGTTTTCAGCGTTTCATCAAGACATTTTTTTTTACTTTTTGATAAAAATACAGTTTGAAACATGATAACAAATTGATTGATTTGAAATAAAATTCATGCAAATTCACTTATTTTAGCTGGTTAGACCTCCTATCAGTTCTGTGGGGGCTCAAACAGACTGAGATGATACGTCTACTTCCTGAAGACATTTTTGGTGTGTAAATAATAAACTATAATG